TACTATAGAATTATCATTTGTGTTGGAGTTATAAAGTATTTACTATTAGGTTATGATATTACAAATTAGCAATTATGTTTGATATACTACATGTTTGAGGATTATAGTTTAGATATTCGAGGCTTGCTTAAGTCAAGGTGGGCCTTATCATTCTTTTGATTCTCATGTCGGTCATGATCGACTTTAAAGTTCGTGACAAGTAACCGGATGAAGTCTTCCCATTCATTCTTCTTCTTATTAGGATGATGACCCCTTTGTTCCCCCAAACAATCTTAGCTTCTTCTAAAAGTTTCCTAAAAACTTTTAGATATTTATAGTGCTTGAGTAACTCGATCATTCTTAAGATGAACTACTCAAACTCTAATTACCTCGTAAATATATTTAGGTAGTAACTAACGCAACATCGAGTTTTAATTGGTGTCACCTAAGGAAAGTTGTCATGGCAAGCTAGATAATGTCGAAACAATACGTATTATGCCCTTTAGTAAAATTCTAACTTCTCCGAGCTAAAAAACACTCCTATCCATATGACTACCTAGCTCATTGAAAGAATGATTGGCAAAGTTCTTTAGTTTAGTGTACAAGTGCCATGGTGCATGAAAAATTCTAGTGATCTTCCTAGTCACTACATGCCTAATAGTCCATACAAACAAAAGTTGGACACAACACCTGCAGATGCCCATCCCTTTTTCTTTGATAGAAATTTAGTGATGAGAGTGTTTATGTCAAGATTGCAGCTACGGGTTAACCTTGAAGGACACAACACTCTTGAATACATTGACTACCTCAAAGTTGATCATGCCTTCAGTTGATGGTAATAATACCAACCATAAATAGCTAGTGCTAGAATTCGAGCTTGATGTTGTTATTATGGCCCTATAATTGTCTTGTGAATTTAGCTTGAAGAATGTTCTAAAACCATCTTCGACTTTGACCCCTCTTGGTTGCTTGCTTTTCTATGATAGCGAGACCGATTCGATTAACCATACAAAATAGGCAAGAGCTTGCTCGAGTGGATTGTAAAACTAAATTGCTTTTATTTTAGGAAATACCGGTAAGGCCTCATACTCTTTAAGTGTGGGTGACGGATCCACACTCCTAAAGATGAAGCAGAGGTATTCTAGATCCTAGTACCATATCATGTCTCGGACTCACGAGATCCGGGTCTTTATTCCGAGCAATTGAGTTATGTCTCCATATGTTATCCGAAAATCAATTCTATCTTTAAGAGTAAGCATTTCTCAATAGCTAGAGAGAGAGCCCACATTGGTAATCTTGTTAACGAGTCTTACCTTTTTCCGGCGACTTTGACATAAAGTCTAGAGGCGGACAATCTCCTTTTTCAACCTAGGCTCGTTCTAATTTGAACCTAAAATCCTCGACTATATTTTTGGTTTTCTCTATTATGATTTGTGTGGGTGATAGCTCGTAAAAATCGAGGGTTATAATATATATCATTTAAAAATAGTTCTTGTCTTCATGGGTCAACCCTAACGAATATGATTTACCTTTTTTATGATTTAGGAAAATTTTGTCTAATCCTAAAATCTTTTTAAGTTTTTAAACTATCTAAATTACGAATGGGGTAATCCGACCTCTAGCCTTATGCACTATGAGATAGGGGAAGGTCATTTTACCATTTCCTATGCATGGGGTGAGTTCTAGTCCAAACGAGAGTCCGGACGAATATCAATAGACTTTTATCATACTTACCTCCGGATCTCTCCATCTAAATTCTAACAAGTTTTTAGCTCAAGTCTAGAGTTTTTATAGACTTTCTTTGTGGTATGTGCAACAATTCAAAGTAAATATATCCAACTTAGTTCAAAAATAAAATATGTACAAAAATTAAAATGCAAGAAAAATAAGTTACATAAAGTAAATAACTTGAAATTTAATATACAATAAATAAATGCTTAGAAATAAAGAACCCGGATATAAATGAAAAAGATAAAAACAAAGACTAAACCTATGGCCTAACTTTAATTTTCTCGGTAGAGTCACCATTCTGTCGCCACTCGACTTTTGATAAGACTCTTAAAAATGTGATTATGGTTTTGTTTTATTTGTAAATTTAGGGACATGAGCTATTTATTAATTTTGAGAGTTGCCACCTAGTATTGAAGGACATTGGCTTAGAGATTCCACGAGTAAGAAATTGGTTATGTCTTTGGGAATATATCAATCACCCAAAAGCATCCTTTCCTAAGAAAGGTACCATGTCTAGTTTAGTCCGAAAATTTATCTCCTAAGACATTTTTATTTATGTCAAATTATTTCCTATTCGAACTTTAAGTTTTTATTTCCTAGGCCAAAATAATTTTTTATTTTTGTTTGTGGAATCATGTTAAACCAATCGTCGGATTCATTCATCGGGAGACACATCGGTTTAATATTGGATTCACTTTATATCTCGATATAACCGATATATTAGAGAACAACTTAATTACTATGGTGGTTTATTTTAGTCGACATCGGTCCCTATTAGATAGGAGACTTTGTTAAATTTTTCTAATATTTTATATTATTTTTATTTACTTAGAATTTTCTCCTTTTTTTCCTTATATATATTTCTTTTAATTTTTCTCTTTTATCTCTATATATTTTTATTATGATGTTTCCATTTTCTTACCTATTATTTTTGTTATCTCTTTTTTTTTTGGTTATTTTGGTTATTAGTGAGGAATTATCATCAATCCCTAAAAATTAAAACACTCGATAATTCGTTCACCGATTAATTACCTATTCTAATTCTTGAAAGAAAACCTAAATAATTAAATATTTCTATTAAATAAAATAAAAAATAAATTGGTAATTCAAAAATATTAACTTTAAACTAGGCATGAAAATAAAATAAAATCGAATAATACACATATCAAAAAAGTTTAGGCATGATTCTCTAGGGGAAAAAATAAAAAAATCCCATTGGGCTTTCAACCCATTGCGTCGGGCTTGGATTGGGTTGAAGGTAGCCCTCTTTCCTTTTCTTTTCTTTTTCGGATGGACTAGTACTAGCCCAACTCATTTATTGTTTCCTCCGGGCATTTTCTTTTTCTTTCGTTTTTGGGCCAAGTTGAGCCCGGCCTTCTTTCTCTTTCTCTTTTTCTTTTCTCCTTCTCTTCTTTTCTTCCCTTTCTTTCTTTCTTTCTTTCTAGACTAAATGTCCCAATCACTATTGCTTTGTGAGCTCAATCTATTGTTTGGGACTTCACACCCGAATGAATCATAAATAATTTCTAAACTTGGTTATTCCCTTCACAGTTTCTTCTTTTAGGTCAATTGGATGGATTTGAATCTTTGGATTCAATTGATAGTAATGATAATGTCATTGCCATTTCTCTTTGCTTCGAACTAATTATGGACTAGAACCGATTAACGATTGACAAAGAGTGTTTAGGATTACCTAAGGAAAGCTTGGATGATTGGAATGAGATTGAAAAGCGAGTAGGATTGCCTTGAGTTCCCTTTGCTTTCGGGTGATGGGTGATGATTGATGGAATGATTTGGTAATGATTATGCATTTTAGAGCTTATAGTTATGATGAATGAGGACTCACAATCAATTGAATAGGATGATTTCTTATATTTCTTGAAATCCAAAACGCTAGAGCAAACAAAAAAAAAAAAATTCCGAGTGCTTGTGGATGATTGATGGATTGATTTAATGAATATCGAATGATCTAGGGCTTGTTATGGAGACGATTAATGACTCACGAACAAATGAAAAGATGATTTATGTTGTTTCTCAAAACCCAAAATGCCGAGCAAACCTAGAATGAAGAATGAAACCTCGATGTTCAAAGGAAAAACCTAGACAATTCAAGCAAAATCTAGAATTTTCTAGAAAATTATCCGGAACTTAAAGCAAACCCGAGAAAACTAAATGCCTAGATTTCCCCTCTTTATACTCTTTGCTCTTGTTTTTGTTCTTCTCTCTCAATTCTTGCCCTTCTAACGTCTAAAAAACTCCTATTTATACCTAATTTCAACTAACAAAACCAATTTCCATTTCCCCCTTTTATTGCCAATCATTTGATCATAATCTTTCTCTTTCTATTATGTTATTTCCTAAACGTTCTAATCCTTTCGAATTTTTACGAGTGTAAATTACGGACCAAGCAAAAGAAAGATTGGTCGAGGGAATCAAATTAGTTAGAAAATCATCGAGAATCAAAACCATTTCCGGTGAAATGGTTTTGAATCATAGGAGAACGTTCACTTGCTCAAATTTTTATTTTTTGATAATTCCAATTCAGTCCTTCAACTTTTAGAGTTTTTCAATTATATCCTCTAATACCTTTCAATTATGCCCTTAATTCATCCTAATTTTTGGTTCAATTTAACCACTATTAGCTTCTAATTTCAAACTTATTTAATGCGATTATGCCCCTAATTCAATTCATCCATCAATTTTGTATTTTATGTATTTTTTTGTTTTATTTATATTTTATATTTTTTTCAATTTCTTTATATTTTTTTCTTATAATAAGTACTAAAATAGAATAAATGCAATAACTATAAAAACCTAAAAAAATGAAGTGAAGAATGGAAAATGACATAAAATAAATAACAAACTAAAATAATAACTAATAAAAGAGAATTAACTAAAATAATAATAAAAATTGAAATAAAATGAATAAAATTATAAAAAAAATATAACGCAAGATTTGAATCATAACAGCCGTCACGAGTTTGATAATAAGTTTTGCCCGTCTGGAGGGAAACCCTCCAAAATTTGAAACCTTGACAAGAACGCCCAATCCCAAATTCAAATTTATACCTGTCACCAACACAACAACAACCAAGCCAATCCAAGACACACACATTCTTAATAAAAAGGAAAAAAAAAAAAAAGCCTTTCTTTCCTTACCAAAAACAAAACCCCATTTTAATTATTGTCCAAATTCCCCTCTACCTCTCCTGCACTAAAAACACAACAGAGCACCATCCTTAACCAAACCAAAAAAACCCACAATTTCATTTTTGTACTGATCAGCAACAATGTCACAGCTTACAACAGGAGGGACTGATTTTAGCTTACCAGATGAGATCTTAGCAGTGATACCAATGGACCCATATGATCAGTTAGATCTAGCACGGAAGATTACATCAATGGCAATTGCATCGCGGGTGTCCAATTTAGAATCTGAAATGGGTCGCATGAAGCAGAAAATGTTAGAGAAGGATCGGGTTATTTTTGAGCTTCAAGAGAAATTGGATCGCTTGCAACGTGTCTGCCAGGAATCCGAGTCTAAATTGAGTCTCACTCTTGATGAAAATGTGAGTAGATATGGAGTTTTTAAAGGCTTGATTGACAGAAAGTTTGTGAACTTTTCATTTTTTGGTATATTTTGATTGATTTTGATGGTGGGTTTTTTGTATTTTGTCGGCCAAAGGAAGAGAAAAGATCAATTATTTTATTTTATTTTAAAGGTTTCAATGGGAGTTTGAAAAAAATGGGTTGTTTTGTTTAATTTGATTGATTTTTGAAAATAAATTGTGGGCTTTTTGTTACATGGGCAAGGGAATAGAAAAGATTGTTTGGTTGTTTTTGTTTTTTTTTCCTGATGTTATTTGGTAGCTATTGCTATTTGTTAACAGAATTGAATTTAATAGTTGTTTTGTTGCGGTTTGTTTTGATATTAAATGAAGGCGAAACTTTCAAAGGAAAGAGATTCATTGGTAATGACCGCAAAGAAACTTGGACGTGATTTGGCGAAGGTGAGATTCCAGTTACTCAAAATGCTTGTATTTGTTTGTTTTCTGTTTTGCTTGCATGGGTTGTTTCTGTTTAGGATTCTGTTAACAACTTACACATAAGCACAGCAATAAAATAGCATTTTCCTGACTAGCCTTCACTGTTTCATCTTCATAGAACTGTCTTTTTTGTATAACTACTAAAATGTTTTGAGTATTGGCAGTTGGAGACATTTAAGAGGCAACTGATGCAGTCTCTGAGCGATGATAATTCATCGGTAAGATGCTGCATTTAGCTATTTTAGGTTATATCTGTCTTATAATTCAGGTTAATGATGATTCTTATACTTAGAGTTTGTTTTTGGAAGTTCAAGAGATACTAATTTGTTGTATTTCTTTTAGCAGCAAGCTGAAACTGTGGATATTGGCACTTGTGATCAGCCAGTTCCTAGAGCCTATCCTGACGAAGGTACTATTAACCTGGCTTGATAAAGCTTTTTTATTAACTCTTCGAAATAAAACGATGATGCATACCAACTGTTTGCTCGTTTTCAAGGAAATTACTCATTTTCTTATCCCCATGCTTTCTTGTTTTGTAGTTGAGGGGACAAATGGCTATGTGACCCACCATTCTTCCAATGGCTCTACTGACATGAGAAACACTGATGAGGGTATTGGACTGGTCTCATTCCATGCTTCTATATATAATTATGTTTTTTTCTAGAACAGATCCCATAATCAGTTTTGGTATCCTGTATTCAAGTGTATTTATTTTGATTGATGTAAGTAGGGTTCAGTTTCCTTTTGTCCATTCATTTTTAGCTACATTTCTAACGTAAACAAGAAACTGCATTTGTTAAAGTAGTAAAGGAGCACTGTACAATAGCATCATCTAGCATAGTAAGAGTCTCACAAATAAGCATCTGTACAAATCATTCCAATTTCAAAATACAGTGACATTCATGATGTAATGAATTAGTGAGCCATCATTCAGATGAAAGGTCTTGTTCAAATACCACTGCCTAAAAAATATCGTGAAACCTAAATGTGGTTATTGGATTTTTATCTTAATTCTCAAAAACTTCAAAGTATCAAGAAAGTTGCTCTTTGTATTATGCTCTACTGTTTTATCTAAAAATAAAAGTTAATTTAACTGAAATAAACCTCAGCTCAAATGTATTTGCGGCCTGTTGTATAGTGGGTTTTTTCTTCCTTCTACTGTGATAAATTGTGATTTGTTCTATTGCTAAATGCTACCACAATATGCATCTTGGAGTATTTTGTATTCTATAGTAGTTCCTTTCTTATGCTTATATATAGTAATTATTTTTTAAGCTAGAGTATTGGTTGATTGATGTTAAACAGTTTAGCTTTTATGAAATCTGGTTGGTTTCTTGTGATTATATGAGGCTATTGTTGAATGATAATATTACTGCAGAGGGCTAATTATACTTTTATTCATGAATTATGAGCTGACTGTTTGGTCTAACAGCTTCAAGTCATGCTGGACAAAGATTTTCTATCACTCCATATATCACACCACGGCTTACTCCAACTGGAACTCCAAAAATTATTTCTACCAGGGCTTCTCCTAAAGGTTATTCTACTGCTGGATCTCCTAAAAAAACCTCAGGTGCAGCATCTCCTACAAAGGCTCAATATGATGGACGAGCTGCCCTTTCTTCATGGTACCCATCAAGCCAGCAATCATCAGCGGCAAACTCTCCTCCCTGTGGACGTCCAATTCCAGGTTTATATCTCTTATGATCTCAAAGTTTTGTATATTTTACAAATCAATGTTGGACCTTTTGCAATTTGTTAGCCTAGTCTCCTCTTACAGCTTACAAAGCCAAGTATCTGTTCTGGTGCTCATTCTGTTATTTGGTGATTGAAGTCTATGGAATCATACAGTCCTATCTCAATTTAAAGATAATTTTTCTCTCATCTGACATTATTTGATTTTATAATGGAATTTTCTTTAGGGCGCGCTCCACGTATGGATGGAAAGGAGTTCTTTCGTCAGGCCAGGTTAGTCTAGTATTCTGATTGTATCATTTATTCAAATTTATAGCTCTATTTATGTTCTTCTAGTACTGATTTGGTCACATTTGTACTTTAGGAGTCGCCTATCATATGAACAGTTCAGTGCATTTCTGGCAAACATCAAGAAACTAAATGGTCAAGAGCAAAGTCGAGAGGTTGCCTTAAATCCTTCAATTACAAAATATATTGATGCAATTGAATGTTTCATATTATATTTGTTTGTAGGACTAACATGCTTTTGTATGCTATCTTCCAGGAAACTTTAAGGAAAGCAGAAGAGATATTTGGGACCGATAACAAAGATCTTTACTTTTCATTCCAAGGATTGCTTAGTCGGAACATACACTAGGCGTCAAGCTGTCAAAGTAGCCAGGAAGGTTTAGATAGAATCAGGTAGGCATTTTCCTAGTCTTCAGTCTGTGTATGCCAATATTACTAGATGAAACCTTGTGGGGCTATCTCTCCTTATCATCTGGGTCTTTGAATGGTGGTGATCTGAACATTGTATCAAAACTGACTCTATTTAGATTGTTGCCATGGTATTGCCAATATGTCTGGATTACTTGAATATGGACCGAGTTTCCCTGGTTCGAAGCTGCCTTGCTGGATTTGTGATAAAGACCTTTTTTTTTTTTGTAGTTTATTATTAATGGCCATATTTTATGTAGTTTATTAGTGCTCGTTTCAAATATTTATCATCTGAACAAAGATTTGAAACAAAGTTCTATTTGGATTTTGGACAATTTGATGGATTCTAACTCTCCACTGATGACCATTGCTTTGCAGGTCGTGGATCAGACTCTTTCCCATCTTCTATGATGATTGCTTTGCCTTGAATTCTCCAAGGCCTGTGATTTGTCGAAACAAAAGAGAAAGATATTAGCTGTTTATTTTCAGCAACTAGAATTATTAGGCTTATTCTGTGTAAATAATCAGAGTTTTTCTGCGTGATCTGCTCGACCGTAAGTGCTTGTTGGCATTAGACCTTGGCAAGATTTTGATTTCTTTACTTGCATATAAGAAGGAATTTTCTTCAGCGTGGCATCATCCGTCACCGATTGCCCCATCTCTCTCTCTCTCAGTTAAGCTCTTCTGGTTACTTCAACAGTAACCTGCAATCAATATAGATCAATCAAGAGGGGCCTTTTGAAGTTGCTTCTTAAATTGTGAATTGTCAAAGCAGCAGATATTATCTGCTAAACCCATTATTTGTCCTATGTGTTTTCACTAATTCATCAAAAAAGTTTCTTATTGATTTGGCTAATCGAGTACTTGTATTTTTTTTATTTTAATCGATTGATATAATTTATTTAAATTGTTAAGAGAACTACTAAATAAAAAAGGTGGGATGAGTGATGATTTTAATAGAAACGAAAAAAAATATTCAATTAGTTGATATATATATATTGTAGTTTAAAATATACATTTAATTGATTAAATTAATAACATAAAGGTTTTTTTTTTTTTTTTTTTCTTTTTTGACGAAAACATGAAATGGAAATAATAGATTTAGCGGATGTTCTCAAGTGATTTTAATGAGAACATGCACCCTCTAGTTTTTTCCATTCATAAAAGCAATTGAGTGACAATTAAGCATAGATATCCCTTTGCTATCATGAGGAATATTTGACTTATGAAAGCTGTCTGCTAAAACAGACCATTGGCTAAATACTTAATTTGTTTGGTCATAACATCCCAACAGCGTTTCATGTGGGATTATCTTTTCTGCTTATATATATTTTATCTTCTTTTTTTTTTCCCCCCTTATCCCAAGAACACTGCTGTTTCAGTCAAATCTTTTACCGGATTTGCACAAGAAAAGCAACCTGATCTGAGGGGGCATTGCCAAGCTGCTTGCACAAGAAAAGCTTGGCAAATCTTTGAACAAAGGATCTCTCAACTTGCTTAAGAGAAAAACAAAAGCAGTGTACTCTATGGAACAAGAATACTTCTAGGGTGGAAATAAATAAAGAATAGGTAAAGTGCCGTAGTGATCTTATGCTTAAAAAAAGATCAGCTTAGATTCACTTCCAGGCCTCATGCACCAACATGAGATTGTTGGACCATGAATAGCCCACTTGAAAGAAAAGATAAAAAGGACATCAGATGGAATTATGTCAGATCATGGCAGTGCATTTCGCCCCCTAAGTCCCTAAATTTTACTGTCACAAATAACCGTGATCAATTCTCTCAAGGATTTGTTTGGCTCTTTCGTGAATTGAAAGAATATATATCAATGACAATGGTGGCAAATGAGATGTTTAGAATAGCTCCATACAAAATTATAGCTGAAAACTATGGTGAAAACTGAAAAGTATCATACATACTTGGGAGCAAAAAAGAAGAAGCTGCTTTATTCAGTCTCTACAAGCTCAAATCTGAACCATTTTTAGGCTCCTAGGATTTTTGGCGTAGCTAGGTATTGTTGTTACCCTCTGGAATATCTACAAAAAATTTGAGAAATAAGAACGTTGCTTAATTAAGGAGGGAACCATTCTTTAAACACAAGTTGGCAGTAAAATCAGAGGATTGCTGGCTGAGTTAGTTGATGGGATATGAAGGGGCAGACAGAGGCACCTGATACTAAGTACTGTCTAACCAAACAAAAATCCTAATCTTTCTTCCGTTGTCTCTATCCTCATTTTGCTTTTTGTGGCAAATAGCTCAGGAAAAGATAAACCTTTGAACTAGAAGCAACCCCCTAGTCCCACTGTCCTTTGTTTAGTAGTTTCAATGTATATTTTTTTATTCCCATGCATGTTGCCCGTTTGATTTATCTAAATTTGTGCTGGTACAGTGGGGAAACCAGGAATCTGTTTTTTTTCCCTAAAGATAACAAAAGATTGTGCAATATGTTTAGATACTTCTTTCAAAGAAATCTTTTTGAACCAGATACCCCATTCAAAATTTTCCGAACAAAGCTTCCAAGAAGTGTGTGTATATATATATATAAAGCTTTTCTATACAAATAAGTAATTCAGGGCACACACTTTCAATGCAATTGTCTTACTGTCTCAACAATATCTTAGCAATGTAAACATATGAATATGTACATTTAGTGATTGCGATGATTAGATTTCGTTTTTATAAAATTAAATATAGTGAAATTCAATCGTATGAATATGCTTCTGATGAACACACTGAACAGATTGAGGTCATTAGGTTTGTTTACACACACACACACCAAAAGTGGAGTATTTATTGGTCCATTCATGGCATCCATTATTTATTGGTATTATGGAGAAGGCAGAAATTTTCAATACGGGGGCGAATCTTTTTATTTATTTATAAATATGATTATAATTTTTGGAAACAGACATCTGTATATATAGAATCCATTGACATAATTATAAGTTATGTGAATAATTTAGTTTTATAATTTTTTTTTTTTTGATAATTTTGATCTCGTCCTAGCTATTCATTAGATTTTTAGTTAGAAAATAAGCAAGTCAAACACACACAATAATTAAAACCACAAAATTAATCAATCATAAGAGTATGACCACAAGAACACTAGATTTGTGTGGAAAAACTCTCTCTATGGTACAGGAAAAAAACTATAGGATCAACTCTAAAATAATCCACTATAATCAAGAAAGTAATACAATCACTTAATTTTTTTTTTGAAAAACAAAAATATTGATAATAATATAAGTTACTTATCCGACTAAATCCATATCATCACGAAAACATATAATCTACGCAAATCTCTATGTTTCAGTAATCGTGTGGGATTATCATCATAAATACCATAATTCTCGATAATTGTAGTATCCAAAAGTCAATGATAGAGAAAATCACAATATTTATTGCACAAAACATCCTTACTTTCTTCCTATAGGATTCATCAAAAAATAAGAAAAACTCTTGTTTTCTTTTCTTTTTCTTAAATTTCTCTCTTTTGGCAACTATTGCTTTAAAGAAAGACAAACTGTTTCTTTTATATGCAAGTCTCGACTAAATAAGAAAAACAAAACAAGAAAAAAAACTTTTCATTTCTAGTTTCACAATAGTGCTTTTCGTATTTAATTTCTTTTTCACTTTAGTATTTTTCCTAATTTATTTTTTATGGGTTATGCTAAGGTTACTCATGGATTGGACCCATAATATATAAACAAATCTCCTTCTCTAGTCTAGTGAGGAAAAAATCTCAAGTTATCATTCGAGTTCATGTCAACAACATTGGCACCCAACCCATTCTTCTCGCATGTTATCAATTTTATTGATATATCAACATGATCTTTATTTTGGAGAATCATTCTCAACATCATCAATTGTTTCTCTATTAACTCACAAAACCAATGAGATAGTCGATCGTTGACCTTTGATTCTTGACCTTCACATAAGTCAAAATATTATGAAAACTATTTAGCTTCTCCTCGTGCATCAACAATACATTATTAGAACTAAAATTCTTGATAAAAGAATAATATTGACTAGTAAACCTATTTGCTTAAAGCTCTACATCCTAAAGTGGAAGGTCTTGCTCTCCCTTTTGTCTGTCTCATCATCATTATTGTCATGACCTTGGGAGTGAGCCATGATCGGTGCGAGGATCGAAGGGACCGTGAGGCCCACTTGACCTAAGCAAGTCTTGGATACTAATCTAAAAATTGTAAATATCATATCATCAAATATCATCTCAATTTACATTACCATAACTTAGCAATCAATTTTCAACCTTAATACAATTCATAATTCCAGTGCTATTCTCATTTCAATAACCAAGATCAATATTCATAATCAAATATTAATACATTACCCACAATTATAACCGTAGAACATCTAAGATAAAACAAATCAAAACATACATAGGTTTTAAAGAAATTACAAGAAAATAAGTCTGCATAGTCAAGGTGCTAACTTCAAATCTAATAACCAAGAGGAAACAATGCGTTATCCCTCAATATCCTTCAAGAATGAAATAATGAAGGGTGAGCAAACCACCAATTAGTGAGTAGACATTATATAATATATTGAGGAAGAAAAATAGACTATGGATGATGTTCTCAAATCCATGTCAAAATGCAATGCTTATTTCTCAAACATATGCATATCGAAAACATACTTTATATTACAAATCAAATGGTTCAAAACATTTTGTATCAATTCATTGAAACACATATCATTTACACACACACACACACACATATTTTGTATTTATATGAAAACACATATATATAGGTTTTATACACCCATGGGGTAATAATGTATCATTGGGTGTGAACACCCAAAGGTCATACCTCCCTTGACTAGGTTTTTGCATGTTAGCGGACATATGGGCTAGCACTACACCTCTTCGCTAGATGGAGCCTCATATCATTGAGCTCAAAAGCTAACCCCGTGTAG